TGTGTGAAAAGGGTTTGTCCCAGAAACGCTTCATTTCTGAAACGCACGCGGGGACTGCAGGAATTACCGTTTTAACAACCGGGGCACGCGACGGTAGTCGCTTGCCATCATATAGGTCTCTCTCCTTTCCCTGTCCCACCTGCTGCAACGGCCATTCAACAGAAAGTTTTGCAGTCGCCCTCCTGCACATTTCGATCAGGTCGAGCTCCACTTGAGCCGAGGCCGGGGACCCTTCGCTTAACACGCTTAAGGAGGGCGTCGGGAGGTCATCGGTGGTAGGATCGCGTCGTCATCATCATCCTCTCCGTCCTCCTCTAAGAGACGAGCAATCGCTTCGTCATCATCCTCCTCCTCCTCTCTTCCCTCTGACAAGATCGGGAAAAGAGGGGGAAGTTTGGGGGAGACTTCATCCATAAACTCGCCCCAACTGCATGACACAGTTGTTTGGTCGACTTGGTCGACATAGTCGACGGAGAAAGGGAGGGGTCTCCTTTATTAGCAGCCGCCACCAGCACTCTTCTCTCCAAAACCCTTGACGGGAGAAGGGAACAGTGCGGACAGCACTCGGGGTTCGCGAGTGCTGCTTGAGCGTGTCTCACCCCAGGCATACAATACATAAGGGATTAGAATCCCTGCTTGAAATACTTGCTCCGCATGCACAAGGACGCAAGGCATCTTTCCCCGTCGCGTCACCGCTTGCGGAACTAATAGTCGTGTCCATTCTTCATCAAGCCGCTAACCTCACCACAACATGTCGCTTAGAAAAAAAAAAGACAGACCAGAGAATTTGTCGTAACGCGTTAATTCACTCGTTTGTCCTTAACAATAGTTTCCACCTTGACAGTGAGAAACAGCTGCTCTCAGAAAAAGCCGTGTTCGGCGACGTACCTTGACGGCTCGTCTAAGAACAGTTAAGCAGCTAATCCTGAAAAGAGGGCAACCTAGAATTTAGCTTCCAAAAGATCTTCATGGGGAAGAGAACGAGAATGAGGTAGGGACCGTTATGCAGTGATATACATAGGGAGGTGGGACTCCCGCATCACTGTCATGATTGGTCTGTCAACTGACAGACGTGGTGTAATTGGTGCTTCCAGGATTGTTCACGCCCAAGGCAATTCCCATAGTGAGATACCGAACGAATGTTTGAAAGAGAACCACTCACTGCTCAAATAAGAGATTCATTGTGCAGCATTGAGAACTTCAATGATTATAATGTAACTTTGTGAGGTCGCGATGAACTAAGATGAGTGATTATAAGGGAGCGTCTTTGTGCCATAGCAATGGACGGCTTATACATAAATATATACATATATATAGAGAGAGCACCCTCACTAATTTAAGAAGCACCCTCAGTGATTGGATTGTGGAGCCGGGCCTGCTAGTGTACCAGTGTTTTTTTTTTAGCATTAAAAAGTTTGTCTTGTACAGCCCATTTTTGTATGCATGTAAATATATTTGTATGCTGTTAAATTATTGTGCAATAACACACTGTCTACTCAAAACAACTTAGCAAAACATGAGGCCATTTGCTGTGCATTCTTTAGGATTTTCTTCATTTATGCAGTTAAAATGATTCAACCTTCTGGTGTTGTGAACAAGAGCTGTGTATGTTAACAAAGAAACAATAAAAAAAAAATAACACAAAACAACTTCAAATATGACAATGCATGTATTGTGTTTTATTGAAATGGTGTTGATAGATGACATTGAAGCTAACCAAAGGGAAGAAAAATAAAATAAAAGAAGAGATCTCTTTAACATCCCGAATGTTTCTGCTAGACAGACATGAGGTTACTTTAACATCAAATGGAGACTTCCCAGAGGAAAGACAAATCAAAAGTGAGATCTCTTTAACATCTCAAATATTTCTCCTAAACAGAAATGGTTAAGATGGAGATTTTTGCTTGAGTCTCCTGCTTCTCAAACCTGTCTCCTGAGACAAAAACTCAAACACTCTCACATGTGTCTCCTTTAAAGTTTCAGAAGAGACCTCATCATCAGCACACACTGTGCTCAGATATTTCTCCTTAGCTAGAGACACTGGGGGTCTCACATTTGTCTCTCCAATGTGTCAAACAAGATCTCAACAACATCACACATGTGCTCAGATTTAGTAATAGTAATGTACCCAATGCCTTTATCATAACAGATTTACAGAAAAAAAGTAACCCTGGAGATTTCTTCACTGAAAAGCAAATAAATGGCTTATTACTCTGTCTTGGTTATTAATTGACTAATTTGATTATTAATACATATTATATGGTAGAAATGCTTGAGCTCATATTGAGACATTTGACTTGGTGCACACTTTGTAAAGTTGTTGAGAGACAAATGAGACAAAGGACACAAAAGTGAGAGCTCCAGTGTCTCTAGCTAAGGAGAAATATCTGAGCACAGTGTGTGCTTATGATGAGGTCTCTTCTGAAACTTTAAAGGAGACATGTGTGAGTGTTTGAGTTTTTGTCTCAGGAGACAGGTTTGAGAAGCAGGAGACTCAAGCAAAAATCTCCATCTTAACCATTTCTGTTTAGGAGAAATATTTGAGATGTTAAAGAGATCTCACTTTTGATTTGTCTTTCCTATGGGAACATTAATGCACACAGGCTTCATCAAATTCTGCATCTGTCGATTTTATCTTATGTGCAGATTATTTTGTTATTATCTAGTGTGAATCTCCGGTTTCAACAGCTCTGATAAGTAATAAACAACGTAATATGCGGCCAGCCTTTCTGTCTAGGAGAAATATTTGAGGTGTTAAAGAGATCTCACTTTTGATTTGTTTTTCCTCTGGGAATGATGATCAGAATTAGCTCTAACATCACAGAAATACTTTTACAGCACGGCAAAGATGCTTTAGGTTACAAAGACTGTAAATAATCCAGAGTATTGCTTGAACATTAAAGTCACACTTTCTGCATCACATCAGCCCTGGGGAGAAGAGTTGCATTGTGGGAAGTGTAGCGTGTGTTTAGCTGAAGCCTCACAGCTCTTCCTGTGGCTGTGGTTGAACTTCCTGTTTGGTAAGTAACTGCTGCGGACATCTGATGTTTAACTGAAGCAAAAAGGCCTTAGTAATATTTTCATAAAGCTAACCGTTAGTATTAGCATCTCAATGGCAGCTGCTTATAGGAGCCTCCGTTATTTGTTGCTTGCAAGGATTTATCAGAATATACAGCTACTCTTGAATGGTCATCAATGGAGAAAGATGCTCTTTAGCAGCAGACCGGTGCAGTTCCAGCATCTACCAGCAGGAGTGAACAGATGAAACTAACCTGACAAACCTTGAGCCAAACATCTAACAAGAAAATGCTACATACAGCACACATTAACAGACATACAACAAAATAAACAGAAACTCGGGTCTGTAGGAACACATATGACACAAGTTTAGGAAGCACAGCTATAAACTACAGTTGTTTCTGTGTCTCTGCCCTCTGGATTACAGTGACGTCCAGTGTCTTTGATCTACAGTCATAGAAAATAATAAATAGTTAGTTAACAGACAAAATAACTCAACCAGAGTGAATCTGTTTAATATTATAACACATGAATATGATCATTCACACACCAGCTGCTGGAGATTCAATGTCAAAATACTGAAAATCACTGCAGTCACAGTCTTTTTTAATGCAGTTACTGCTGTCCATTAAATGATAATACACATCAGTTTCTTTATACTCACCTGTTCATATAGCACTGGATTAAACTCTATGATGGAGGACGACAGCAGACCTGTGCAAGAGATCAGTGTTAGTCTTTCTGCGATTAATGCTGTAAAACTCTATAATTTAATCTAGTTTCTCATGCATGTCATCCCGAACCCAACCAAATACAATCTTCAGGGTTTTGTTTTTGCTCTAAATGCTGAAACCTCAGAGAAAAGGACTTATTTCATGTAAATTATTACCCTTAGTCTTCTTTCTCTTCCGCACAGCCACTATAATCAATGGAAGACCAATCAGGAGTAAAACCAAAGCCTCCGCAGTGACGATAATCACAAATGAACCTGAAACTTACAGGAGGAAAACGCTGTCTGAAATACTGTATAAACAGAAACAATCATCATAATCAGCATAGAAACTGTTTAGGGAATGAATAAATGAAAGACTAATGAATGAAATAAGAGAGATGTTGTCATTTCCTGTTCAGTGTGATGCTATAAGTTCACTCTATATGAGTGTGTGATATGTGGAGAGGTGTTTACCTGTACAGGTGAAGAAATCAGCGCTAAATGACAGACATCATCCAGACATAATGCATATTAAAGGAAAATAAAGAGAGAAAGAGGAAGATGAACTGACCTGCTGAGGAGTTGTGCTGATCTGTGATTGTTTCTTTTCTTTCTGTGATTGTGATGCTGGTGGATTGTGGATTTGGTTCTGTTTTGCTGAAATATGATGGTGTTGCTATAAAAGGGCTGGTAGATGAAACCTCAGTGGTCTTATTATCTATCAGGGGACAGGAAAGATCAACTTAATCTCAGTTAATATATTATATTATGAATTATATTGTGTATATAATTATAGATTATGCAGTGAATCGACTACTATATAATAACATGAGCTGCATCTTCTGACCCTTTCTATGTACATTTCTATACTACAATAGGTCCATTTGCAGAAGTCACATGAATCACTAACCCTGTTTAACCAGCAACAAAATCTCTGAATAGACATCAGCAGTTAAAATCATGTTCACAGCACACCAGTATTGTCCTCCATCCTCAGTTCTCAGATCAGTGATGGTGACGGTGAAAACTCTGGCCGTCGTGTCGTCACTCAGAGAGAATCTCTGGTCTTTAGCTGGAGATCCTGATTTAACCATGATGTTTGCAAAGTTGCACTTGCCTTTACAAAAATACTTTGAATTTGATCCATATCCAGATTCATATGGGCATCTGATGTCAAGTCTGTGTCCTCTGTGTCCTGTGACTGTAACTGGAGCACCTGCAACAACTGAAAACAGAAATATCATTATACAGAGCTGTTATGTGTGAGCAAGATATATTATCAGACCAGAATAATAACTGACACATATGAGACTGGTAATCATGCAGTAACAGAGTAAAAACAATAAAAACAGATCAACTTTTGTCCAAAAGCCATGAGAGTCTTAAACTCACCTGTACAGATGCTGGAAAAGAGGACGAGAACGTCCCACATGCTAAGATTTTACACACGTTTTGCATAAATACAAGACAAAAGCTCAAGCGTTATGGTCTTTCTCTTCTGTACTGAGTGAAAAAGCATGCTGTGTCTGCAACTATATCAAACATTTCCTTCCCCTTTCCGTATCTCTGACCACATCAGCTCTTCAGGACATCTTCAGAGAGCGCATCTGTGACGTTTGACTGTGTTTGCATAGTCACACATCAGCCGAGGAACAATATCTCCCTTGTGTGCACCAGTAAACTCAATCATCCGTGCCGTCAAATATTTATAATATTAATTCAGGCACTGATTCTTCACACTTAGGAAAACTGCATGTACGGAGTGTAATATTTTCGATCTCTTTTGCTCAACATTGGAGTGTTAATAGGCCTGCTGCTTTACACCAGTGAGAAAACGTATTCCTCACTGCCAATAAAAAAGTATTGAGACTGTAACACTTCTGTGTGGCCTTTAATGCTGAAGCTTCATTTTCTTCAATGCGATTAAACACAACAGCAGCTAATTCCTCTCCACACTGACCTCTGATGGACAACATATGAATTGAGCCAAAGCAACATGTTACACTTCCACACATCTCTACTGCATCACTGAGGCTCCAGGAGACAATAAGATAATGGCAAAGTGCTAGAGAGTCTTATTAAAGGGGTTATATGATGCTTTTTTAAAGATCATTATTTTGTGTATTTGGTGTAACAGAATATGTT